GACTGTGTAAGTGCACAATCTTCAAGGCAGCTTTACAGAATGCTCTAAAACACTCCTCACTTTATTAAGAGGTTGGATGTGCGGCAAGCACTAAAATTCCTTAATTATGAAACTATTTGGAAGTTAAGCTGTGCACATGCAGCCTATTGCATCTGGGATGGAGATGTACTGGGCTTCTGTAAAAGAGCCCTGGTGAAGGGGTGACTGATGACTCTCTTTAGAGACTCACTAGATGAACTTCATGGCTAGCGTAAAAATTCTGACCACGGAAAAACTCACTAAGGCCATCATGCTAAAAAAGCCATTTTTTCTGTTTAGTGGATATAAAAAAAATTGTATGTCAGTTTTGTCATCAAACCCTGTGCAGAATGCGTAGATGTGCTTTTCTGTTGAAGGGCCATGTCTGAGATACCATGCCCAGGATTTATAACCTGATTTATAACTGATTTATAAATAATGGTTTATAAATACACGACATCATTTGAGTTTGGCCTGGGTTTATCAGCAGAACCAGAGGCTGACAACTTTCCCATGTGTCCTGTGGAAATACTCAGCATTTGGCATTATTACTGCGGCCGTCTTAGTTGTGTTTTGTGCCTTCTGAATGAAGGTACATGCTTTTTAAAATGAAATGGATGGATGAAAYGGGTCCTGGATGAAAATGAATCCTACATACCCAGATCTATCGTATACGCCTTTTTTAGAAAAAGTCCCGCCTTGGAGAATGCAGCTGCATGTTGCAGTACGAGCCTTTTTTTCCYGATTTTTCTCTAATCGTTGCCAAAGGGAACTGTCAGCGAGCAGCGAGGCAGGAATTGGGGCGTATACCCTTTGATAATGGCCCGCGCACGCAGGCCCAGCCGGCCGCTCTTCTTGTCCCGCTGGTCACAGGCGGCTGCAGAAGGTAATTTCCCGAGTTGCCAGCCTGCTTTCTTCTCACGCTGCTCTTTGGGGGTTTCTCCGGACGAGAAGAAAGCAGCAGCTATTAAAATTGTGCTGAGCTGCAACGCTAGCCTGTTGCCTGGCCGCAGGATTTAATATTGCAATTAAACTTGCACCCATATATGTGACAAAGGTGCAGCTTAGGGGATAACATAATAACTTTAAGTTTCTCCATAAACTCCTAGCACTGACACATGCATGCACTTTTTTTTTGTGAGTTTCAGCTGTARAGGTGCATTGAGTTGTGGGATGTTTCAGTCAGCTCTTAGGAAATGCCCCTAGTCTTAGGTGCCAGTGTAGCACATAGAGGAGGTTAGACTTTTTTTCCCTCCCCCTCTTGAATTCAGATTTCTATTARAAGTGTCACCTTTATCACTGTGGAACAGCACAAAGATTTCTCTGCACATTTCAGCCTAATCCCTGCAGTTCCAATTTCATTTAAGGAACTGCTCTGGCTCTTGCGTGTTACACGTTTAAGCTGGAGAGATTTGGTGTGTAGATCAGTGAAATCATATCRGATAGTTGGATAATCATAGGTTTATTAAATCTTCTCACAGATATTTCATGATAATTCTGAAGCCTAATGACTGCCAGTAGGATAGCCCCCTGTTCACTGTGGTTCCCTTCACAGTGCAGACTAAGCAGTGTATCCCAGGATCCCATTTATTGAAGTGACAGAACCCCAGGGAACATGAAGCAGAAGCGCTATGGGGTAAGGAGAGTGTTGGCAAGAGCTGCACATGTCCTGAAGTCCTGAGGAAGTATTTATAACAACGTGGCTTAACAGCAGGTTTCCAAAGTACAATTTTCCACTTCAGAATACCTTACAAAGTAGGAAGGTATGAGGACAAATGGGGAAACTGAGGGAAAGCGCCTTGGCTGAGGAGCTGGAGGCGGGCAGCAATAGAAGGCCCTGCGCTGCCTCCAGGCACTCCCCTGTGCCCGAGGGAGCCATCCGTTCCCTGTTGTCCTGCAGAAGGTGCTTGTGGATGAAGGGCCGCAGAAATAGGCAGTGGCAGATACGTAGAGCTGGGTTTTAAAAAGGATAYGTTTGTGTGCGGTGTGGTCCTCTTACCTGTTTAGCGGGGATGCAACTGGAATCACCCTGCGTTTGCTGCAGAGAGCGTAAACGAAGTAGTTCTTAAGTATTAGAAGGGTTGGGTGTTCTTTCTTTCCCCAAAGAAAGTGCATTCCATCTGCCTCGACAGAAATTAGAGATTTAGATTACCTTTTGTTTATGTATTTGTGCTTGTAATCAATGGCTGTTTTCARACTCAATTGGGTAGATTAATTAGATTGTGTCTGCAGCAGTTCAGCAAATGCACGGCTTGATTAGTAGTTTAGCTGGCTCTGAAGCAGGGTTCCTTCCCGCATGGCAAAGAGCAGTAACACTCTCCAGGCCCTGGATATTCACACTGTCTGTATCCCAGAGATTCACACTCTCCAGGTTCTGGATATTCAGCTTTGTCCTGACTACCTTCTGGCAGCTGTTACATGTGGGGAGTTTGGGGGCTTCTCTGGGGCAGGAACTGCCGTGGCACTGAAAGCTCAAAGCAGGGCTCMAAAGTGCTTATGTTGCTGTCAGCAGAGGTTAGTGAGCCTCAGGTTGCTTTAACCCATTTCTKTTTCCTTCACTGTCTTGTTTATTCACTGTCTGGCTCACAGTTTCTTTGCAAGGTTCTGTGCTATCTAGAATTATTTTCATGTATTACCACACTCTTAGGCATTGCATTCTTGTATAAAGTGGGTTTTGGTCCAGTCTGCATCTCCTCTGGTCAGTAAATACTTCCCAGTGAGCTTCAATTTCACCAGACTTGAGTGTTTTGTGGTCAAATTCCGGATTTTCTACGGTAGTATTTGGTGTTTTTGGACTTCTAATTCCCTCCTCTTGGAAATATGTTACTGTTGGTCAGCAGCTGCTGTTTGGAAAAGGTGTGCTGATCCCTGGAAAGGGTATCCAGGGGGAGAAGCAGGGAGGAGGAGGAGGAGCTCTGCTTTATTCTGTTAACCAGACACAGAGTAGGAGGTCGGGGTATTAAGTTTTATATAGCTATGCAGCCTACAGACGCTGGGTTATGTTGGAAGCTAGAAATGTGTGACCTTCCAGTGCCCACCAAAGTGTTTAGTGATGCCAGTGTAAATCAAACTGATATTTCCACTTTTATATTGTAGCCCAGTAAAATTAAAAGAGAAAAAAATGATTTGGCGTTGACGATTTCTCACTGTTACTAAGTGGTCTGTAGATGTGGGGTGAGCACCACATCCAGGCTCAGGATGCCTGAGCAAACAGAACATTCCAGGTTTTTTCAGTGCTTTTCTGGGAAGCTGCAAGCGCCAGTTCCCGCTCCCGTGTGYGTTTCCCAGCGCGTTGAGGCTGCTCTCCCGCGTGCTCCGCTCCCGGCTACAAAGGCTCCTTGTGGTGCCGCAGAGCTGCGGGGTTACCCTGCACGTGAAGCTCCCCAGCACCTGCTCCTTGCAGAAAAACAGAACAGCAGAACGGAGTGGGAGCAACTCGGAGAGAGAGGCAAGGGGTGAGAGATGGCTCTGCTACCAACCCAGATTTGTAGGATCTGTGTGCAGGGGGGAAGCCRGCGGCCAGGGCCCCGCGCTGTGTTTCCAGCTGTGCTAATGCTGGGTGAATAGGGAGAAAACGGGTTTCGGGGGGGCCTGTTTGGRGGCTGGACAGGCTTGTGTTAAGCTCCTCCTGTCATTACACTCAGCTCTGCTGTGCTGCCAGCACGATGCTGCTGYGTTGCCAGCAGTCCAGGGCAAACTTGGTTATTGATGTTCCAGTAGCCAAGCTCTGCTGGCTCTAACCTCATTTCAGGCTCTCYAACATCATCCGATTTATAATATCCAATTATCAAGGCTGTTAGTGCTGGTAATGCCACTGTCAGTTTGTCTTGGCTTCGCTACRTGGATTTTTTGCTTATTTATATTTTTATTTATTTCTTGCTGCAAGTCGCTGAGTGCAGAGAATTGGGCYTAACGAGGTCCCTGGAGGGCTCCTCCTGGGTGCTGCTGCACGTGGAGACGCCGCAGAGCAGCCGCCGCCACGCGGATGCCGCAGCGGCGGGAAGGGCCCAGCAGCAGCACGTGCCGGTGGGAGCCGCTTGCTGGGCAGTGCATGTGCAGCACTGGAAGGCACGGGGCAGGATAAAGGGCAAAATCATTACGCTGCTGATAAGGTCTCGTGGAAGCYGAGAAGTGATGTCCCCCAGTGTGTTATTTGTGGGTTAATGAAATAAACTTCTAGCTTTGCTCCAACRTGAATCGCACCTTTCCTAATACTGGAAATATTACAATTGCAACGTGTATTTAAAAAAAAAAAAAAAAAGTCATTTAAATATCTTTTAAAATGTCTTTTAAAATGAACTGTAACATCTGTCTTTTCCCTCCAACTTCTCACCTGGTTTCTGAGCGCAGGACACGTTCAGATTTCATGGGAAGAAAACACTGAAACCTGGGACTGCCCTGCACCTTCTTTCCAAGACACGAGCGATCCTCAGTGTTTCTGTGTTCTGTGCATAAACGTGACGTGGTTGTGAATRTTAAATACCAGCTGATACTGCGAGACTTAGGATGTTCTCTGTTTCCAGGTGGGCCATGCACAGGTACCGCTCATGCCTCCTTAACCACACCAACCAAAAGATCTTGCGACTCAGGTAGGTGCCTGCTGCGGGGCGAGCACGGGGCACCACAGCGCGTCCTGCGCACCCATAGCGTTATGGTCTAGTAGCCCAGGGTGGCAACTGCACTGCCAGAGGGCTGTCAAAATGCACAAATACATGCATAGACACACATGCACAGACACTACATATATGTATATACACACACTCTATATATGCATATATAGAGGGTGTTTATGGGAGGAGAAAAGCAGATAAGCTTATCTCAGTTCTGTTAAACTGAATTCTCTGAATACTGTGTTTCCAGGTAATGTTTGTAAACATAAGCAATACAGGAGTAATCAGTTTGATTTACATGCAGTGATTGCCATGCTGCCTTGGAAAGGCAGAGCATGAAGCAGAAAAGCATTCGGAGTAGGGCCGACTTGCCTTGGTTAGAAGACACGGGACAGACACCTGATGGTTGCCTTAGTCTATGACAACAAATCGGGTCTAGGTCCTTCCCATGATCCTGCCCCTCCGTGGCACGCGGGGACRGTGGGTTTCTCACGGGGCTGGTGCCCATGGGTGGCGGGTCGGGGCCTGGGCAGGCCAAGGCTGCTGCTCGTGCAGGGGGTCTGTGGCTGCCCGGCCTCTGCGGGGCCTGGAACGTGCTCCCGGATCCCCTGGATCCGCTCCTGTACCTTTGCTCCGGGAGCTGTAGGCCCCAGCAGAGAGGTMGCGGCTGGCACTAGGGCGCAGCGACTCTAACCACCCCAGCTGCTTTTAAACAGTCAATTTCAACAGTAGTTTTAAACAGTAATTAAAACTAATTTTAACAGTGATCTTTAAAAAGTAATTTTTGTCTCTCTTTGCATTTATGGAATGTCTTTTAGCTGAACTGAGTGCAGGAGGGAAGGGCCTTCCTATTYGGGTCTGCTCTTCTTTCAGGAGTTGAAGGAAAACTTCCTCCAAGATCATTCATTGCGAGCGCACCCGTGGTGTTTTCAGAATGCTTGCTGCCAATTGAGGATGGTTTTAATTGTATCATTAGCTTCACTGTGGTAATTCCCTGCATGCATTTGTTAGCTTGCAAAGGGTATGTGATGACGAGGATCATCTTCATCTGCAGCGCAGGGAGGTTAAGCAAGAGAAGCTGCATTTCCTCCTCTGGAGGAGCAGAGCTTTCCAGAGATCCAGAGTAATCTGGGACAGTGCCATGAACGTCGCTTGTCCCAGCCCTCCTGGGTACTAGTAGGTGCTGGGTCTGAATTGCCCAGAATTGGCAGAGCGTCGGTTTTCCTCTTCCTGTGGGCCTGGAGCCATTCCCTGGAGGGAAGGGAGMTGCCCTCCCTCTCCTCTTGCCAGCTTGTGCTGGCTTTGTGTGCTCTGTTGCAGTGCTTCACTCAYGTTTCAGTAGAGGCTTGTTAAAAAGATTTTTTTTATTATGTTATAAATACTGAAAATGAAGACTAGTATATGATTTTTTTAATAGGATTGTGGTTAGGAAAAAAACAAGTGAGCTCACTATTTGAAGTGCTACATGGGAATAGCAAAAGCTGCTTGGATCAAAGCAGCTGAAGCTCCTCTACGTGTTGGAAATGGCCCGCGGAACGGCTGGGTGGCTTTCCTCAGTACTTCTTATTTCCAGTTTATACTGTTGTTTGATGCCTGTGTGTTTAATATGTGTTTGGTGCGTTTAACAACAAAACAGAGATGTTTATCCAGTCRCCTTCAGTGACCTAAGCCGGCTGATTTTACACTACTTTGTTGTCTCTTACCTGGCAAGCCCAGAGATGAGCATAGCATATAATATATTATGTCTTATAATATAGCATTTAATATATTGAAGAAGGATCAAAGACGGAGGAAAATAAGTTCTTTTGGGGAGAAAGAGAGAAGTTTTGACCTCGTGCACTTGTCAAGTATTTGTATATCAGCATGTGCYCCCAGGGCAAGGGTAGGTGTGCAAAGATGGGTTAAAGCCTTGGATCCAGTAGTCTGTGTGATGCTTGAGAGGCTTTGTGGTCTGAAGGTTTTGTAGGAGGAGGGATGGGGCTGTGGCCCAGGGAGCAGCTTTGATGCCTTTTGATGTGTGTTTGCATGCTCAGGAGTGGTGCTAAGAGTAATCGCAGATGTTAGGCTGAGAGGCTTGTTCTGCTACACGGRGGCCTGGGTTCTGACAGCACAGTGCTAAATAGGATATTAGTCTTCCTTCTGTGCTGTACAACCTAAAGATGATTAAATATGCAATTCAAAGGCAGACTTTTAAATATTTTCATGCAGCTGAAAATCCTGGAAACAAATCAATGGGAGTGTTTAAGTGCCCTCAGATTGTTTTTAATTGTGTTTCAAAGTGTGCAGTTGACACAGGAAGAGAAAAAGGAGTAATAATACAATCAGTGCATAGATTAGATCCATTAAGYTGGTGAACTTTTAAGTTATTTATCTCTCAGTCGTTGTTCCTGAGAACCTCACTACTCTGTGTGGGTGCGAATCGCTTGCCTCTTATGGGGCCGCCTGTCCTGGCCGGTGGGCCGAGTCCGCAGTGCTCCAGGTCGCAGTGTCTGTCACGTGCTGCTGGCTTTTGTAGTTGGAAGCTGGGGTTGAAAAGATGTGGAGGATTCTTGTGCTGCTCCAGCTGAGCAGGTAGATGGTCCTTTTTGAAGCTGAACGTTCAGGTTTTGCTTTGCCTTTTTCTATAGTAAGGAGTGTGTGTGATTGTAGCAGTGGTGGAAGAACACCATGAGGTTGCACGTATGCTGTCAGGAGGGCAGCCTTTTCTGGAGAGTACTTTTTATTGTTGTTCCATGGGACCCCTAAGGTGCTTTTTAAGGTGTCCCACAGCACTGGGCTTCTGGAGGGCGCTGTGCTGCGTTGCAAGGCCACCCTCCCTGGAGCACTCTTGCCAGAAGCAGGGATGATAGCAGAGCCTTGCAGCCRTGCTGTAAATCACCCGGCCCTGGCAATAACAGTGCCCATTAGGGAYTTTTTTTTCTGCCTTTGTTTTCCCTGCTCTGTTCCCTGCTGTACTAATAGAGGAGCACGTCAAGCAGGGCTGTAATTTAAAGTTATTGCCTAATAGGTGGGCGCTGAAGAGGAACGGGCAGGAGGGAAGGCATGGAGACCCGACGGCCGCTCGTGAGCAGCTCCGAGCGGGATGAAGGGCCTGGGCCTGGCACGGAGGCGGGCGATGCTGCTGGGGCTGGGGTGGCCCTGTGCCCAGATCGGAGGGGCCCTCTTGCCTTCCCTGCCCGTTGCTGCTGCTGGACGCTCTGCTCCGCGCTTCCAGCCGGGGCTGGGAGCCGGCTCGGGCCGCTCCTGCKCTGTGCGACCCTGCTGCTCTGCGCTGGCTCTCAGCGTTGATTGTCTAACAGCCTTCTCAAAGCCTTAAAAGTATTGAGATTAAAATCCTCCTGATGGTCAGGATCAGAACAGTCATATCTGAAGACATTTTAAAGACTTGCTGCCATTGTCATATTTATTCTCAGTGTCTTGTTAGTTTACAGAGTCGCTGTCGTTCGTTAAGAAGAGTGGACGTGGTCACCTGGAGTCTTCTTTTCACTAAGTACCCTTTAATGTTATACTGAATGTGTTGCAGCTGCTATGGCTGAAGACCCCAAAGAGATGAGTTTAGATTAAATGTATTAGAAGTTTGTTTGAAGGCAGCTCTGCCTGCGATGTCACGATGCTCCTTGCCTGTGGGTTATTAAAACTTCTTGTTCTTGGGRAAGTTTTTAAGAGCTTCTTAGCACACAGTAATTGGTAGTACTTACAAAAAAGTGTTTACTGATCTTCTGTGTATCAGAGAGAGTCTAGCACATTTCTGTGGGAGTGACAAGCCATAAAGAAAAAAAAAAATGCCCTGAAACTTGGTTTTATCTTTATTTTAAAGAGCAGTGTTGCAGGCTTCGTGGTCGCGCGTATATTAATCACTTGGGCAGGTTGCTTCTGGATGAGGTGACCTCCAGCAGCCCCTTCCAGCCTAGTTTTTTCAGTATCACAAGCAGGGACGTTGAATTTCACATTGCTGGAACACCTGCAAGTTCAGAGACAAAGATATTAGCGTCGCGTGTCTTGCGCTTCCCATCTGCACCCTCTTCCTGCAACTTAGTGAAGATACATTTTGGGAAAATATTGGAGCAGGAGCTGGGTAGCCTGGGTTTCCTTTCCTTGTTTTGGGGGTCATTGTCTTGCCTGCCTTCGCACGACGACACGGACAGTGCAGCAGGGAATCCTTGAGGTCGTTCCCGACTGGAAAAGCTGTCAGGTCTCCCCTGTGGGCGGCCTGGAGAGGTGACTCCAGGATTTTCCYTGGAGCACCACAGTTCCTGAGCGGTGCCCGGGTTCTCCATCTGGGCTGGAGGGGAACAGTAGCAGGGAGCATCAACAAGAGGGACGGGCAGCCCTGTGTTGTTTTCAATTAGGTATTTCATTGCACCAGAGGGTTTTCTAACCAGTCYGGCACTGAATAATTGCTCTCAAATATACTCAGAGCTGTGCTGCTGCTTATTTTGTGCTTAATTTCTTTAATTAATTAATATGTAGGTAAGGTAGAAGCCACTTGTTACTGCTGCGTGTACTTGTGCTGGAGCCAGTGCCCCAAGGGGTTTTTATTTGATTCTCGGTTCAGGCCTCTCTTCTGACTGACACTTTCAGGGACCATCAGGGAGCTCCAAGTACAAGTTTTCGGTGTTTTTCATTTAGAAATTAATTTTCAAGAAGACCTTAAAATTATTTCAGAGACTCTTGACAAAACCAGCCAACTCTGGGTCTGCATGTGCGTGCAAGGGGATAGTGAGTCTCTTGCTATAAAATGAAGGATTTAGTAAAAATTTGTRTGTTGGCTGTTTGTGCCAACAGGTTCCCTTGTTTTTCTACCCTAGTTCTAAATCATTGTCTTGAACATAAACTTTAGGAATAGCTCCTAAACCGAGGTCTTGGAGGCAGCTGATAGGAAGGCAGGTAGGTATAAGACAGCCTCTGTTGCAGCCTCTGAGCTTCGTTGCTCAGTTCTTCTCACTTTCAATTTGAATCAGTTTTGATGCTTCCCAAAT